TATCAACCATTTGAAAATCTAATTAAAATATTAAGATTTTAAATGAATAGTTTCTATCAGAAGGAGTTTTGTGGAGATTTTAGTGATTTCAACAGTTGAAATTATGTGTCAATTGAAGCTAAACCACCATGGAAAACCTGGAAGCACTGGACGGCCGTTTCTTCTTAGCATGGGACGGGATCGTGAATGCGCACTGCTGAGGAGTCCCACAACAGGGTAATAATCATCTACTCATTAGTGACTGAATTCAAGATGCATTTACTGGAGTTCTAGTCAGTAGCCATAATCAGTGGAGTTCAACCAGGTCTGTTGTGAGATATCAGCTCACTGAAGACAATGATGGACGGTGGCGCAATTTCGTGGATTGGTTGGAGTTAGACATTAACACCGTTGAATGCCGGCCCAGTGGTCTAGAGGTTAAGGGTTCGCTCGCGAGACTGATAGGTCCTGCGTTCGAGTATAACGGGGGGCAGGATCGTGGATGCGCATTGCTGAATAGTCTCTAGTTAAATACTTTGTCACTTCTCATCGTAAACTAGACAAATTCAATATAACATTTTGTGTCTTATGTAGTCAGCCAGGGCCTTTTTTCAAATAAAAATAAAAATTCAATCTATCTTTAAAATAAGATAGCTTTTGTTTGAAATAAAAGTTCATTGTTTGCTGGAAAACATATTGAAATATCAGTTTAATGACTAATAAACTATAGGAAGAAGTAACTTGTTTGAATTGCTTTCAAATAGACTTGGTAATAGTTCAGATGGAGAGTTATTCAATCTTTCATCAACCATAATATTAGTAGTGTTGATATAATGAAATAGTTTAAGGTATATTCATTATTTATTACTAGACGTACATTTATTCCATGTCTCATATTTTTTTAAGTTCTTAAATAATTATGTGATATATATATATATACAGACAAACGTTAATCACCATATCACTTTGTGTAAGAGTTCATGTGCTTTTACCGCCTAGGAAAAACGTAACCATAATGGAAATGTAACCAGACAATAGACAATGTATTATGAATTCAACGTGTCGGATACCTTAATAATAATAATAATAATAATAATAATAATAATAATAATAATAATAATAATAATAATAATAATAATAATAATAGTTACAAAACTATCCCTACAAGTTATCCATTTACTTAAACAAGAAATATATGTTCATAAACAGAAGTATTTCAAAGATCCTAATGATTAATTAATGATTTGTAAGGTCATATCCAAATCAGATGTAAGCATATTTGGTAGTTGTTTTTGGGGAAAGAAATGTTGATACTCGACTTAACCGGGAATTTATAACATGACGTAAGTTTCTATGATGAACTAATGGACTATAAAGTGATAATTTAATATATTTCAGTGAATCTAAGCTAATCAATAAATCCAGTAAACATCATAGAACAAAACAAGGACAAAAAACTCATTTTTAAATCGGTTGTTTGAATCTTCCCATTGATGTTTAGTACTGTGATTGAAATTTATGCATTATGTGCATATTGCCTTAAGTCACAAGCATTATAAGAAAAGATAGATGGTGGCTAGCAGTAGAATCCAGGATGTGTATTGCGTTCTATTTGAAACTCACCAGCTGGATGTATCTTCATCCCAGAGTTGATGTTCACTCGGAGACTCGAACCCAATACTATTTGCTTCGAACGCCATCTCTAATGACTATCTAAACTTAGTATTATTATTTTATATTCTAGTTTTGAATTACTGAAGCATTGAATACTTAAATGACGTTTGAAGCGAACGGTAGTGGGTTCGAGCCCTAGAATGAACATCAATTCAGATGCAAGCACATCTAGCTGACGAAGCACAAATAGGATGATAAGCTCATCTTGGATTTCACTGCTAGCTACTATTCGTCCATGCTTGTAAGGACAAAAATTGTTTTTATTTCTCAACATTTTTCTTATTTAAAATATATTTTGCATATGAAGATGCCCTTCATAAAGGATTATTACGTCGATTATGTATCAACAATCAAAGAAATAAATGTTAAATGTAATGCAAAATATTTGAATACGATAGCATAACTGTTACATAAGACTTCAGGAATGCATAATCAAAATAATAGTAGATACAATTTTTTATATTTATACATCTGTAAGGTTAAATTTGGTTTTAAATCGTAATCAACATTGCTTGATGTTCCAAAATGTTTAGTATCGCATTCCCAATGCTTTTATAACTATTGGAATGTTCCATTTTTTTCTTTCCATTCAATTATTTAAGAGATGTATAATGAATGATCTAATACCATATAAATTAATTCATTGATTCATTGATTTATTCTTAATATAACTGATACAACATATTCAGATTATTAATATATCTTAAAATATGTTCCAAATGAATAGAATGTAAACTCACTGATGACAATGATGAACGGTAGTGCAAGTTTATGAATTGATTGAAGTTATAAATTAACACCGTTGGATGCCAACTCAGTGGTTTAAAGGTTAAGCGCTCACGCTCAAAACAGTTAGGTGCTGGGTTTGAATCTCGCTAAGAGAGACCGTGGATCCGCACTGCTAAAGAGTTCCATACTAGGACGGAACGGCTCCCTAGTGTTTCCGGGTTTTCCATAGTTGTCCAGCTTTAATTGGCTCATCAATTCAACTATTAAAAACATGTAATCTGTAGAGAAACGTTCATTCAATAATACGATTCGTAAACATTTTCACAGTATGAATTAGATAATTATTAGTGATTGCCTAAACAATGGCACCATTTACACATCATTTAATGAATTACTTATATTTTAACCTAGTAATTTCCTATGATTCAATTTTTTTTGCTTATCCAATTTATACTGCCTTTTGTTTTTTAAGTATGAATATGGCGTATATTACAAAAGACGATTTATTAGATGATGCAAAAACAAATTCTGTTCATTTAATTTCTAAAAATGAATCAATTATGTCGCCAACATCATTATTTCCAAGTAAAGTGAATATGTTCACTTTGATAACGAACACACGAACTTTATTAATACAAACAATAACAGAAGATGGTTCAGATATTCATGATTGGCTGTATGCACTTAATCCTTTGAAAGCAGGGGAAATTCGGTAAGAATAAAAACGAAGAACCTATTTTTTTTTAAAAATAAATATAAGAAGGGTTTTGTGGATATTATAGTAATCTCAACAGTTGAGACCATGAGTCAATTAAAGCTAGACCACCATGGAAAGCCTGGAAGCACTAGATGGCCATTTCGTCCTATTGTGGGACGAGGTCGAGGTCGTGGATGCACACTGCTGAGGAGTCCCACAATAGGATGAAACGGCCGTTCAATGCTTCCAGGTTTTCCATGGTGGTCTAGCTTCAATTGACTCATGATCTCAACTGTTGAAACTATTTATTAATTATATCAATAGTAATGACCTACCCCAATAAATAAGTAGTTTTGTCTTTATTTTCCAATGTTTACATTACTAATTCATTATTATTTGTTTGAGCATTAATTATAATTGATTCAGTACTATGCATTGATCATATACCATTTAATTATGTTGATATATATATCTTTCCAACTCTATAGAGTACTTTATGAAGCTAAATGACCTATCAACGTGAATATTCTTTTTTTTAGAAATAAGTAGTAATGAAGTTAGATTGATTAATATGTTAAGAAAACGTAACAAAAAAGCTAGTTATATCATTATTGCTAGAAAGTGGTTCAATTGTTTCATTAGAAAGGTGAATGGTATTGAGTTAGAGTTCTAGAGAGAGAATATAAACACTAGGATGAAGGTACATGCATGTGAATTGTTTTTTTTTAAAATAAGGATTAAACATTCGTCCTAGATTTCATTCTTAGCTACAATATATGTATTCCGTGTAAAATCATTAAAGACATACGCTTCATGTAGAGCATTATTCATCCAATGTATTGTAATAAATTGAACTGAAAATTGGCCAATACTGTTGAACAAAAGCAAATCAAAAACAAATACTTATCCACATCCTTGAAATGTTGTTTATTATGTTAAACAATTCAAAAACCTAAATAAATATTTTCTATGAATTCGAATATTTTGTAATATATATTTCCAGGACTGGTGGTGATCAATCTATTGAGAGATATATTGTTTGGGTTAGGTGGATTGACGTAATTCATCTATAACAGTTTTCGATATCAGATAATAATAATAAAACTTTAATATCACATTTCACCTTATATGAGACTTATCAATTACACCTATATCACAACTGTTGATGTTAACTCAAAGATTAGAACTAAGTACTTATCGCATCATATGTGTAATCAATGTTTTTTTCTCTTGTACTATTATAATCTATTTTTAATGAAGAGACGTACACACCAATGTTTCTTTGCAAAGAATTGATTTTAATATGGTAATTTGAAATTACAGTGAATAGTATAATCCTCAGGAAATTATATGCATAAATATATAAGTAACTGTAGACTACTCACCATTACTTACATAAATCAGATAACCAATCAAACGACTCATCTAAATGAAATTTGTTTTGTTTTGTTTCTACAGTTACTTTTAGTTTGATCACTATATAGGCATATACATATAAGTCATTATTCACTTCATTTAATTCAATACATGATTTGTTCTATTTTCATTCATAATGATTAATGAATAATTCATAGAATAACTCAATGACAATTGAAGTATAAATGTAAATTTTTCGTAATTTTTGTTTTATTTTCACAGTTCTCGTTTAGGAAGAAAAAGGAGAACAAGGAAATTAGATAAATTGGAACATTATAGTAAATAAAAAGACAAACAATCATTGTCATATATATAAATACACACACACACACATACACTAACAAATATACTTGATTAATAAAACTGATGAGATATGTAGAGAAAAGCCATTAAGAAAAAAAACCTGTTTAAGCAATACAATCTTTCGCTATTTAACTAACTAACTGAACAAGTTACAATGCATCTTTTATTCTATTTTTGACTTCTTATCAATATTCTGAAATGGATGAATAAAGACATTTCACAAATCTTCAGGTAAGTAATACATTTTAAATAATTATTAAGATTTCAATGGTTGAGATCATGAGTCAATTGTAACTAGACTACCATGGAAAGTCTGGAAGCATTGGATGGCCGTATCGTCCTATTGTGGGACTCATCAGCAGTGCGCATCCATTATAATATCCACAAAACCCTTCTGATATGAATCAACATATGCTCACTAGTGGCTGACTTCAAGAGGTATTTCATGAAGTTCTAGTGAGAAGCAGTGACCAGTGGAGTTCAACCGGGTCTATCGTGAGATAGTAACACACTAAAAACAATGGTGGATGTGTCGCTCGATTTTGTGGATTGGTCGACGTTAGACATTAACACCGTTGGATGCTGGCCGGCTCAGTGGTCTAATGGTTAAGCTCTCGCGCGTGAGACTGATAGGTCCTGTGTTCGAATCTCTTGGGTGGCGGGATCGTGCATGCGCACTGCTGAGGAGTCCCACAAGAGGACGAAATGGCCGTCCAGTACTTCCAGGTTTTCTATGGTGGTGTAGCTTCAGTTGACTCATGATCTTAACAATTAGAATTACTATAGTATGCACAAAACCCTTCTAATATGAATTATTAAAATGCTTTATGGAAGTGCAAAATCTAAACAGTCATCCTCGTTAAAGGTTGTTGTTGCTTGTTAAGTAATATCCTTATTTTTCGATTGAGCGGAACGTTTTTGTTTTCTCGTAGAGAACAAATCATATAGTTTTACTCAAGTGTATATTGTATCCTCTATGCTCGAGCATTAATCAATATCATTATCTTACTTAAGCTGTACATTCGTACTTATAGTTATATATAAAATATATATTTATAGAAGGATAGAAAGGATTGCACCATGAATTAATTCGAGACTCTCATTATTAAATGAGGTTATGCAATAATCAATGGGTAAGAGGAGAATATAAGGATGAAAATAATTTGCGGGTCAGAATTATGAAAGATTATTATCCAGTTGACAGACATGAAGAACAACGACAAACATAATGGTCATAATAATAAAAACTGAATAACAATAAACAAGAAAACTTGTTTAAGGAAAATAATAACTGATTACAAAATATTACTTTAAAAAAATTGATAACAATGATAAAAATAAAAAGTGAAATAAACTACAAAAGAGAATCAGCGCCAAAGATGAGAGGTTGGATGTATCGTTTTTGCACACAAAGTTCGGGCCTGAGTTATTGGATTGTCAATGCCTCAGAAAGGCATAAGATTTTGATTCGACCTTTCTTCGATCCAATTCCTTTGACTGTATATATTATTTTAAAAGAAGACTCCTATGGAGCTATATGCTCACAGTCGATTAAATGCTCTTGTATTGAAACAGTAATTGTTTTGCATTCTCCTTTCGAAAGCCATGTCGGGTGGTATTTTGAGATGCATTTGGAAGTGATTATTTTGTGCGGTCAAAATAACCTGCCTAGAATCGGTAAGTAAACTTATAGATGCACATTGATGTGACCCAAAGTAGGAGTTTATCCTTAACATATCCATGAATGGTTGATCGATTTGAGAAAACAATTCGAAGCTTAGCTGAGTAGAACGTTTTATTCAGTAATTTTGAAATCCGTTTATTCAAGATTTCAGCGGCCATATCTCCTTTAAATTCCATATTCATAAAAAGTTTTCTTTTGTACTGTTGATGCCTTTTTCCGGATGGTGATTAAGTGCTAAGTTCCTATCGACGAATCTACATGTATAACATTTCTGACAAGTTTCTGTTAAAGTTGAAGTCGTTCTTCATCTATTGTGTCAGTAGAACATATTCATCTGATCCTTGAGGATGAAGAGTGAATTAAGTTCCTCTTTCTAATCAACGGGATTCAGCTATATAAATTTGTGTACTACCTATTCCAGGTCAGTTTTTATATATAGATATAACTATACGTACAAATATATAGCTGAAGCAAATGATTTTGTTGAAACGAAAATTTTCTTCTCTGAATTCTCTTTAATTGTATTCAATGAAACTATGGGTTATTTCAATATCATTATACTGATATTATAAGTTTATGAGAAAATAAAGCTTTCTATTTATATAACAAACTATAATTGAATATTCCACGCTGCTCATAGACCTAGTACGATATTTCGTCATATATATTTTCTAGGTATTAACGAAACTCTAATATTAATTTGAAATGATCAAGATTGATGATCAATTTCACGTATTAATTACTATGATACTTAAAAGAAACAGAAAAATATTTTCAATATTAATATAATAGGTTAAATATCATAACATTAATTGTTTTGGTGAGCGATTGTAAGGTAATATCGAGGCATATGCACAGTATACACATATGCCAATAACAGACTGATCAATTGCAGTCTTATAACCTCAATGGGAAGATACAAGCCAAACAATACCAAGTGAATTTATATTTTCTTTTTTACAAAAAAATAATATCTTACATAACTGTTAAAGTAATTATAACCATAGTCTAACATTTGCATTTATTTTACAGATTACATCAAAAGTGTTTTTCTTCCCCATCCCCCTCTGATCAACTACATTCTATATATTTAATTATTTATTCATTTATATGGTTAATAAACTATCAGCATTACAAAGAAGTGATTATTAACAAGAAGCTATTCTATTTTTTCAATAGTCCCAATTGTTTATTCTTACCTTTTCGTATTGTTTCATTTCATTTAATTTCAAATATATTTATCTCCCATAACAACCACACCCCTACGCCCCCTTCCCCCCCGCACACACACACACACACAAGAAAAACAAAACAAATATGCATTTCTTCGTCGTATAAACATTTAATCAATTTTAAATAAGAACAAAAAAGTTTTTGGTTTATAAAAAAATGGTTCACTGTCTATAATTTGTGTTATTTTATTGGAAATTATAAAGTAAACATGTATTTTACAATTTACAATTTGTATTATGAAATGTATTATGTAACCCATGTGAATATCAATGTTTACATTTTATTTTAAAGAGATAATATTTGTTAAAGTGTTGTGAATTCATTACTATTATTATTATTACTTTGTTTGTTTTTTGTCTCATTTCGCTTTATAATTTTGTTTTTCTTCCTTATTATGTAATCATGCAGTCATGAAATGTATTACATTGTGTAATTTACAAATTCTTATGAAATCTCAATTTGAACTAAATCTTTCTTATCTTTGTTAATTGGAATCTTTCATTTGAACATTTAATAATGATACACTTGTCCAATTAATTATATTGTCATTTAAATAAGAATTAATTTAATGCTTTTGCGTAAACGAATTTTCTTTTCGAAGGGGTTTTGTGAATATTAGAGTAATTTCAGTAGTTGAAATTATGAGTCGATTGAGGCTAGAGCATCATGGAAAACCTCTAAGCACTGGATGGCCGTTTCGTCTTAGTATAGGACTCCTCAGCGGTGCGCATCCACGATCCCGCCACCCACGAGATTCGAACGCAGGACCTATCAGCCTCGCGCTCGAGCGCTCAACCATTAGACCACTGAGCCGGCCGATATCCAACGGTGTTAATGCCTAACTTTTGTTTATTGCAATATCAATATATATATATATATAAAATAATCTTAGAAACTCATTGAATATTTCTGTGTTTATGATTTTATTTTTGTTACTAAACATGTTAACATTGATCGATCCATGATCTCAATTCAAAAAACGACTCAACATTCTTCGCAACCATATGCTGATAATTATCATGTGCTGTCTAGTGATAAACCGTGACCAGTGAAGCTAATCCATGTAGGGTGTGAGATAATTAATTACCGAAAACAACGGAAGATGTTCATAAATTATCGTGGATTGGTTGAAATCAAACACTCTTATCATTGGATGCTGGCTCGATGATCCAGATGTTAAGTGTTTGAGTGGATTTGAATCTCACTTGTAGAATTGCGGATGCTTACCGCTAAGGAATCTTATACTAAGACGAAACGGCCGTCCACTGCTTACAGGTTTTCAATGTTAGTCTGACAGTGATATCAATCAAAAAAGTCAACAGTCTTCACAACCATATACTGATAAGCATAAAAAAATTTACTGAAACAGATTAAGTTGAATCAGGTAAATTCTAGCGTGTATAAACATTCTATTAACTTTTGTTAATGATCAATTCTGTGAATCATATAAATAGCAGTTTGCAAACTTTGAAAATAAATTAGAGTCAGTGATTTAAAAAAGAAAAGAAATTTAGTTTCCATGTTTCGTAATACCTTCCAATACAAAATGTTTATAAATTGAACGAGATTGGTGGTCTTAAACTGGTTTATGTAGTATTAAGATTGCAGATTATATTGTTTACTACAAGTATTTATACTTCAAACAGACAATAAAGTGAATATGAATTAATGAACTATCATATTTTCAGCTAAACTTACAGACATACTTTATTGTCTGTAACAGAAAATGCACAAATGTACAAGTGATTGATCACTAGATGGTGATCAATGTCATATATGTCAGATCCTTCTTAGTGTAGATCGAATCCTATCGATCATATTGCAATGTAGCCACCAGTCTATGTGATTTAACATTGCGTACACTATGTTAAGATAAGATGGTGGTTAGAGGTAGTCAACAGGAAACCCTGGATCTAGGTTTCGTCTTGCTTGACACTCGTCAGCAAGGCATACCTGTAATCATGAGGCAACTGATGTCCAACTATCTTCAACTATACAATTTAATCAATTTCGAATGGAAATATCATTTACATAGAATTTATTTCTTTTTTGCAGTAAGTTATTACTTGTTACTATGGTGTTTGTTTTAAAAAACAAAAGGTTCTAACTGAACTCTAATCCAATAAGATGACTTGTATGTAATTTAAAGTCATTATAAAAGCAATATTAATTTAAAAAAAGTTTATTTAATTAAAGATAAATAATTCCTAAATAAGAAATACTATCCATCAATTCATTTCTAAGATATATAAAGATACAACTATGTTATCAAGTTAAATCATAGGTAAACATTTAATTAATTATACAAACTTTTAATTAAGTAAATAGTCTTGAGTAAACTCATTGAATTAATTCTATAATGAGAACATTCTATTATCTCTTACCATGCTACTATTATTATTATTATTATAAGTTTTAAAATTAGAACATTGGTTAAAATAAAACTGAAATCAATATATTTCCTTTTTGCTAATTACTAAACTAAATATTAGTGTTCTTTGTAACTTAGACCTCATAGTTCACCAGGAAATAATTTGTGTTAATTCATTATTTGAAAAGAAATTTGTAGTGACCCCAAATGTTGTGGTACGGCCGAGAGTCGGGAGAGTCTTCTCTCTTTCTCGAAATGCTCTCACATGGCCACGCGTTGATAGCCTATTCCAGGAGGTCCTACTCATTACCTTCTCGCAGTCGGAGTAATGTTTACAAAATTGACAGGACGAAAAGCGAATGCCCGGCGCTTTAACCGGGTTGGTGGACGTGGAGAGTCCACCTAGGGGAGTTGGAAAACCCTGATTCCAAACCAATAGTACACATGAGCTCCAGTATTCTGAAGGAACAAATGGCGTATGAACCAATTATTGGTCACCGGCTGTCATGGGACTGAATCTTCTGACGTCGCTCCACTGCCTTGTGGATCAGAACTTTAAGTCAAAGGCTCCGGGTGTGGTTCCCTATCAAAACCACCTGCTTCTGTTTGGTCACCCGGACAGTATCACAGCCCTCACACAAACTAAGTGAGATTTGTGTGGCACATATGTATCTGGTACCCTCTTGTACCAATATCTATGTGTTCAAACAAATAAATAACACTTACGTAATACTGAATATTTAAAGCTAGAATCATAGATGACTTAATGGTCTCATTACATTAAAAGATTTTTACTACATTTCTAGTATAACCATGAATGTAAACTACTCTCGGTAGATCTCAGAACATATCACTTTTAACTCATTTGTTATTTTACCTTTTAATAGAATGATGTACAGAGTTAATTTTTTTCGAATGCAATTCATCATCAATTATATAAAGAGTAAATAGTAGACGATAATAAGTAGGAGAGATGATGACGATTTCATCAAATGTTATGTTAGTCTTTAGTTATCATGAAGTTTCCATATAGCTTTTTATAAATCACCATATTTACTTAAAATAAGATGTCTTTCACAATGTATTATCGTTGTAATTAAGGCTAAACACTGAATAAATCTCTTGAAAATTATTTTCTGATGTCGCTAAAGATTAATACAGCTTACTTTATATAATGTTTGAACTGATCGTGTATATAAAATTTATTATTATCAGAAGGGGTTTTGTGGATATTGTAGTAATTTTTAATAGTCGATTGAAGCTAGACCACCATGGAAAACCTCTAAGCACTGAACGGCCATTTCATCCCATTGTGAGACTCCTCAGCAGTGTTCATCCACGATCTCGCCTCTCTCTCAATTTGAACCCAGAACCTATCGGTCTCGTGTGCGAAAGCTTAACATCTAAACCATTGAGCCGGCCGGTATCCAACGATGTTAATGTCTAACTTTAATTTATTAAAAGAAATATTTTTGCAATATTTCACCTGTGAAATAATCACAACAATGTTTGAATAAATAATTTTTGTTATGTTTTTTCTTGTTTGTTCAAACAAATTTCAGTCAGATATTCTGACGTCAATGGTGCCTACATATTATCTCATTCAAAGTGATTAGTTTTTTTTATGGCAAAACAAAATTTAGACATTGATTAACAACAGAATATAACTATGAATACAGATTACTATAAATGACTATGTTCTCTTTTATTATTCTGACAACTCTTCGTTTTTTTCCCCTTAAATATTACGAATCATCCTAGTCTGTTGATGATGTTAAACCAACAACAACAAAAGAAAGACACAAAGCGGTAGTGACACAGGAGAATTTGACAACAGGTAAAACATTCAAATCATTCTCTTTTTTCTTTTTATTAAAATATTCTACCCTAAATATTTGTCTAACGTAAATCCTTTATCCGATCATACTTACCCAGTTTACCAAAAAATATATGTGATTATATTGTCCTAATTAAATAGTTTATAACGTATAAACTCGTTTTTATGATACTTTTAGTAAACTGAGCATTTTATGAAACTGTTATCATAATTTTATGGCTAAATCTAACACTTACGAACTGAAAGATCGGCGAGACTATGATTTATGGACGATCTTTGAAGGAATCTTCAGTGATCATGAGAAATATTAGTCAATCAGAAAACATTTAGTAAAATGTAAAAATATACAAAACCAAAGAATTAAAGTGGGTATATATCTTCTACATGGTTTAAAGACTTTTCGAGGTTAGAAAGAGGTTCAGCGAATCTGAAATCGTAATGCATACGTTAGAGGTACTCATCCATATGACTCCATAATAGTTGACCTCTGGAGCCATGATAAGATCGCAAAAACTCTTTCGGCCTCGACCACATAGATTCAATATTGTTTATGTCCACTCCGGTTGTTGGATCCACAAAATTCTGCTTGTGGATAACGACACTATGCACATAACCAAGTCTATGTAGGTATCGGTAAGCTCTCCATTCATCCGTACATATTGTAGTACCCCGTTGAACATATTCCCATATGATTAGTATTATCGTTGTAGCCTGTCAGTTTCTTACCCGTTGGAAGTGTCCCTTATAAGATGATCTGTCGTATATTCCAAGGACCTGTGAGGTATATTTACGGAAGTGTTACTTAACCAGTTTTCTTTAACACTATATCTTCTGTTGAATTTTCGTTTTTTGACAAATGTCTCGTCTATTTCAGCGATTCTCCCGAACCCTCCAAACAACTCGTGTAAGCTTGTCATTTTTACTGAGCATATATCTCTACAACACTCATACCACTGAACAGCAGAAACTTCAGTAATATCTGCAAATGTTACAGCCAGTGTTACTGGTGCCTTCATTGTCTAGTTCGCAACAATTATTATAATTTGCCTTAATCTCAATTTGGATAGAGCGAAAATGTTCCTATTCTGGCAGACTCCTATCTCCAACATATATTACTTCGAAAGACAATATCATCACGATAGTCTGTACAAGGTCCACATGTCATTTAGTTACTACAATCAAATAAAGTAACTTTTTAGTAGTTCCATTTGTTGTAGCCACTCAATTATAACGTCTCTAAAATCCGCTATAAACCGATCGTACGTGAGCATCAGGTACTAAAATTGGCTCCGTACCCCTGAAATCCTTCAAACGCTTCCAACTGACTCGTTCATAAATGATAGTCTCGCCGAAAAATCTACTTAGCAGATCGTCAGCAGTTGTACATGGTAATTTTAATAACTATAAAATCGATAATAAAAAAAATAATCGACTCTGAAGAAGTACGAGTAGCTGATGAGTTTTATTTAATGATAAATCTTTTCGCCCTTAATAGAAAAGGAATGTTTGACTATTCATGTAAGTTGAATGGTTTATCTAATCAATCATGTTGAATTCAATATTGTATAGATTTCCAAACAAAGTTTAGATTAATTAGGTTGAAATAATTCAGGCCATTGGGTAAATGATTTTTATTAATGGTAAATATTTGTATTTTACAGTGAGTGAAAAAAGGAAAACAGAGTTGTTTTATCAGTGACATTTCGTTATTTAATACTAATAGTAAACCAGAATTTATAACAGTTTTAGTTTAAACATGGTAACTAGATCAAATTTTCACAGTATAAGGTAATTCTCCGTTACTGAATGTATGAATCAGTCAAGATAATAGACAAGCGTAGATTTTTAGATAATGATAAATGTACGAGTTGCTAAAATAGCTTATGTATGTAATAAAAAGAAGTCTCGCTTCCAAATTGGTGTTGAGAATATTAGTTCGTAGAATAATGATGTTGGGATCAGGTGAAATTTCACCCTGATACTTATATCTCTGAAGAGGACTTTTTAGGAGATTCTAGTAATTTAATAGTTGAATTCATGAGTCAATTGAAGTCAGATCACCATGTAAAATCTGGAAGTACTAGACCGCTGTTTCGTCTTAGTATGGGACTCTTCAGCAATGAGATTTTTGTGACTTTTAAAATTCTTCTGAACGATTGCATTAATATCAAAGTTGATCTTATAATTCAATGTTATGACATGTAGATCTATGAAGGACGATTATTCAAGTTTTTCAAGCTCTATTAAATCCCTTTTTGAGGTTGAACAGAGCTCTCTGGTTAATCTGTCATAGATAAGTTAATATTTTTTGTAAATTCTGGCTTATTATTAATTTGATCTAGCTATTAGTAATTATATGAAGAAATCACAGTATAATAACTCCTTTTTATTTCCTCACTCACTGTAAAATACGAATGTATATTATTTGTACAGATTAACTTCTGTTCATTTCTCACACCATCAACTCATACCCAGCTTCATATATCTATTACTTCCCATTACGAATTTTTTCATTTGACATATTCAATAGCATTCTTTTAAAAGTACACCATGATACCTTGGTCTAAATTATTATTATTATTATCAGCTTTATTCAATGTTACATTTTTGGTACAATATAGGATTCTCAGTGCAAAGTATTTCAACAAGTTTCCGTTTCTTTCTTCTTTGTCGGTCCTGGCGATAAATATCGAGTGATCGCCAGTTAGATGTTAGCAGTTCAGTAAATGAACATCTGAATAATGTGCATTCTTTTCCTTGTATATTGCCAGCAACCACATTGTCTCTTATTGAGTTTTTTGTAACTTTGACAACGAAAGGTTTTACACTTTTCAGAAACGCAGCAGAATAGGTTATGCGATTAATAAACATAATGATATATTAAAACAAACAAAAACAGATAACTTGTTGAAATATCTAGATGGCAGGGACATGTAGCTCAGATGCTCAAGCAGGCCTCCCTTTATGAATGACATTAATGTAATCCGATCTCTTTTGATTTTGACTAAAATAAATATTCTGTCTTGTTCCTGTATACTATTTAAACTTGTGTTATTAACTCTTTCTATAAAGTGCCCTAAACTAAGCTGTGAAACTCCGTAATTTACAATTCTTGCTCATAGTTATATTATAAATATATTATTTTATAAGTACTCAGTACTCAGACTTGTGATATATATATATATATATATATATATATATATATATATGAGCGACCAAGGTTTGTCGAATAAGATGTCTCAGTCACCATCTCTATAAAGAATCATATTGACAACAAAATAGTTGTAGGATGTTTGTACAGATTACAATCTTAAAAATAAAATTATTGTTTTCTATTCTGTCTAGACCTGGACAATTATAATTTGTGTATATATAAATGTTGGTGTCCTGTGAAATGAAATATCTACAAAATGATATGTAAACATCAGTTTCAAGAAGAAAAAAAACTATTATCTACGTATAAGTAAACAGACAGGCGGTAAACCAAGAAAAACTTATGTTTCTTTAAACAAATATATATCAAACTAAGAAAAGATTTTAGTTGTTAATTCGACTACAGACAACATTTGGTCTATTATTTGTCTTAGCTTATGAAGTAAAACAAATCCTGTTTATGGAAATTATATAGACAGATATATATATATATATATATATATATATATATATATATATATATATATATATATATATATATATATATATTGATATCTATAAAAAAGATACATAAAATAAGTCCGCATGTTGTTCTTTGATTTAATCATATGACAACTAATCATATAATTTTCTTTTTTTCTACAACAAAGACCGACTTTATTTAAATGATTACATAAAACATAGTAATATCAGAAAGCTGTTTTCTTTTATTATTGTAAGGATGGTCCACAAATGATCTTGAGGAAGCTCGAAGAAGCTCAGAAAGAGCCGAAGATACTCCATCCAATCATCTTTTGTAAGAATATTCCAGAATCTCTAAGTGTAGCTTCTCTATTGGACAAATAGTAAAAACCACTGTGGATTCGATGACTATAATGATGATTTCGCTTTTACTAAAAACTATAAATACCTGAGAGTTTTGTATCATTTTGACGCTGTTTAGAATAGCATACCTTCTCACTCATCTTCTGTCTTCTTATTTGCGACTTGAAGGGTTCTAGCATTTGAGTGCTCAAGTTGTACGCCGTATATCAAAGAATCCAAGCCCTAGATATAACAATTACAGGATTCATTAACATTACATTAATATATTGTAACATCCAAAAATGCAAAGGTACACTATTTCGATAGACATTATCCATACATTTTTTACATTTGATATTTTAAACAGTGAGTTTAAAATAATGAAATATATGATTAGGATAAGTAAACAATAATAAACGATAGAGCTTTAGAGTAAAACATTATTATCGAAGCTTATTCCTTACAATTCATCTGTCTTGTGAGTACAACGGTGTGTTTGGTAAACTGCATAATACGAACAGAAGTACACTAAGAGAATGGCATAACCACTACTTAATTAGCGTTTCAGAACAATAGATATAGCATAGAACCTAAGAGTTGATAGTCACTATTTTCTCAGTAGGTAAGTCACAAGTAAGTTTGGATAGGTGAAATCAATAAACAAAAAAAAACAGGTAATAAACATACCATATGAATTATTATTATTGCATTTAGATGCTTAGAAACATGAATGTATTGTTATTTCTTAAACAAAGTGTATTCAGTATATTTCTAATTACTTTGTTAAGATGATCTCAATAGCTCCTTTATCTGTAAAATACA